CTTCCATTAAAATATTTTCATTAAATCCTTGATGTCTGATAAAGTATAATCTAAACACTGAGTCTCACCCTCATCCCATTATACTTGATCACACAAAAGAACAGCAAGGTGGCAGCCAGTGGCTCAAAATGTCAGTTGAACCACACCACCAAATACATGCAGAACTACCAGACTTGCTTCCACTTCAAGTTATAATAAATTCTTCCCCAAGCAGAACAAGCAGCACTTATCAGCTTATAATTCTTTTTCATCTTCTACCAATTCTAGTACTTGTAGTAATAACAACTACTCTTAACTGGCCACTATTTCTTAGATTAGGTGGGAATTAAAAAATAAAACCAATGTTCACCTGTACTTTCCTGACAGCCAATGCCTAGAGACTAATTTCAGCTACACTGTGACATTAATGATGCTACTATTAGAATACTATTATACCAACAAACCCAGCCTTATTAGTTGAGTGTGGTTTGGGAGGTTGTTGCTGTATTTCCTTATTTTTTTGTTTGTTGTTTTAATCTCTGCTAGTCATAATACATTAGGCAAATAGCAATTGAACTTTTTTCTACTTCAATATAATATGACAACCAATATGTATAGTGAAAGACTGTTAGACTATACAGTGAGAAAATAACACAGAACTCAACATTACCTGACGTGGATTTTGCTGACCAAACTTGACTTGGTGAGTCACAGCCTTGATAAATTTCTGTTGTTTTGCACCTTTCTTATTTTTCAGGCCAAATGTTTTGTCCTAAATCAAGAGAGATATACAGCTACAATAACTGAAACAAAGTTATGATCTGGAAAAAAAAAAAAAAAAAAAAAAAAGCCCACTTGCCCCTCTCCCAGGTTTTCAGTTCAACCGACTATTTCCTCCAGAAATACAAACAATTCAAGGAGCAGTATGGGCACTATTTGGACCCCTCACATGATCTTCAAAGACTGCATTCAGAACCTACTACATGCTGCTTTTGTGTGACCTATTGCTTTTATCACCAGACCTACCTGCGTCCAGCTATTAGTGCGTTTAATGACCACTCAAGTAATATCTGAGGAAAACATGAAAAAGAGCATAAATACTGTCTGTTGTCTTATTACCCACCTAAAAGAACATGACTTATCTTCAAGTATTCAAATAGGTTACACAGATGAATAATACCACAAGTAACATGCTATTTTTTATTTCCAAATATTTTAAACTTTTCATCTTCTACCTGCCCTAATGTGAAGTGAAGATTTTCCCCCAAAGTCCAAACAGGTGCTTGCACTTAGAGAACTCACTGCCAGAAGTTTCTGTTTATTGCCTGAACCAATTATTCCTCCACACCTCCAATTTTATTGTTAGAAACAGGTTTCTATATTCAACCTATTAACAACTCATGAAAAAAATGCCTCACTTCCACATGTGTATCTCAAGGAAAAGTCATTTTTTTGCAACTTACTCACCTACATGGAAAACCTATCCATGCCTCTGATTTGATACCAGGATGGATATTTTTCCTTGCAGGGACATGTAACAGATGTTGATCCAGAGATAACACCCCCTCAGTTATTACATACCTTTGGAAACCCTACCTATAAAAAACATATTATCCAAGAACTATAAAATAACTATTTCCAAATTTTTAGATTAATCCTGTTTTCTATTACCATGTGTTGCCTGTTAACAACCAGCTGGTCATCTGTTACTTCCTCATAATTTGAACACTACCTAATTTGTCAAAGGACTTGAGAAAGGAAATAAATCATTCACATGCCTGATTTCATGAGCAAATGCCACACGGAATATAGAATCCCTATGCACTTGAATTTCGTAATAAATAGTTAATAACCAATGCAAGTTTTTCTCCTTTCAGCTGCAGTTTTGGGTATAAAACCCCATAATTTTCCTATGAGCTAGATCAGCAAGAACCTGAGAAACACTGAAGTCAGCAGAGAGTACAAAGAACCTCTAAATGAAAATTTCCAAAGAACACAGGAGCAATATTCTGCAGTGCTAGATCTTAAAATAACAGTTGCACTACGTGCATATTCTGCCTAAAAACCTGAGCAGCTACCACCTTTCTTGCCAACAGATGCAAACATCTAATTTGCTAAAACTATTCCCCCCTTGGACTTCCCATATTTCTTTTCATTTTAGCATAGTGGAAAATTTGCACAGCTACCCTAACAACTATAGGATGCACACACACTTCTGGCAAACCCAAAATATGGTTTTACCTTGAAATTGTGCATCTCAAGTTCGAACACAAAATGAGATATTAGATGAATCCTCCCATGATTTTCAATTCAACTTACATGAAATATATGCTAAACTTACTCCAGGAAATGCCTCCTCAGCCACACAGGCCAGACTGCATTGAAAAAAAAAGCCAACAAACCCAGAACAAACAAAACACGTGCTGAAAACTGAGCGCAAAACGCCAACTCCCCCTCAGCGAGCTGGGCTGGGAAACCACAGGAGCAGAAGGGCGAGCAAGGCCCAAGAAAAGAGCAGAGCTGTGTTCTCAGCCCCCTGACAGCTCCGGCCTCACACCCTCCCGGCTGGCAGCACCGACCCCCGGGCGGGCAGCACCAACCCCCGCCCGCACAACCGGGGCGCCCG